GCCTTCGCCCCCGAAACTCTTGACCAATAAACGTATCCAGTTTCTTCAGTAAGACTTCAAAAAATGACATATTTACTTTACTTCTGTTATAATAATACAGCTTAAAATGTTCAGCAAAAATTTTTTTCCAACGCGGACGGATACTATTGAAATGGACTGGATGGAATGGACAAACTTTAGATATTATAAACTGTTGATAGTTAACACAAAACAAAACATGTTAAAAATGTAACGTTTACAATCAAAATAGTACACAATCTCAAATTGCAAGTATAAAAATACAAATGACATCAGAAAAGCAATCACCGGCAGACAAAGAGCCAAAGACGCAACAAATTTGGAATACCTATCCACTATCGGAACCAAAAAGTATTTTTGATGGTTCACCGCTCTAAGGTCAAAGGTCAGAGAGATAAGGTTCGATCATAGTATTAAAAATAACAATGCGCCAAGTGTACTGCTGTTTTCATGTTTGTTAACGATCCGTGATGTTTCGGATGGACCACGGAGTACTCTTTTGTGAGTTATTCGATAACAATTTTTTTTTCTCATATTATAAAGCTAGAGAATGTGCTTGGACACGAAAATCTACGGAACTACAAGTTCGAATTTAACAATTATTTTTAAATTGGATAGTTCATTTATCAAGAAAGGATATAGGCTACAAAACATTACACTATTATCAATGCGAGTCGAGGAGCAGGAAAAACCACACGGGAATAAGTAGTCAAAAGCTTTAAAAAGGGTCATCCAAAATCAGCTATTGATTGTTGTTGTGTTGAATTGATAATTGATGATGAAAGAACGGACAGAATAATATACTAGACGAAGCAATAATAATTTGAAGCTAGTTAAGCAAACAACAATAAAATGCAAATACTATATTTATCCTCGCTACAAGACTTCTTATCAACTGCAATCTCTTAATAGCTGCATAAATACTAACATTATGTACATACCTAATACATACATACATAGATATTATTAAGTAAACCGTCTGGGACTTGTTTAATAAACAAACAAAATACAAGTATGTACCTTACAATCGAACCTTTAAAAGGTATGACTATAAATAATGATTAAGAAAATTGAACCCATCCGGCTCGTAAATTAGGTCTATTGTTAATAAAATCACTTCTGCGAAAAGGCGAGAATAAACTTATCAATAGTTTTTTATCGTAATATGACTTAGTATGACTCCTTTTTTCCTGCCTGCATCACCTTCTGCTATTTGGATTAATAACGTCGCCATTTTTAGGATGTTTATGTCCAAATTGAAAAACGGGGCTATTGCTAAGTCTCCGTTGTCCATCTGTCTGTTCCTTTCCTCTCTCTATATCCAGACTGTCTCCTAATCCAATAGCTTTACTATAGTCAGACTTTTAATTCGATTCCTGATTTGACATGACCTATTGTCATTTTGTGAAATAATGATACCACATATAACAGTGTAGTGATGAACACAAAAATCGATAAACAATCAGTGAATCATTTTCAGGAAGGCATTCAAAAAATTACGGCTACCAAATAGTCTAAATGCGTATCCCATGTAGTCAAAATAGGGGAAAAAATGAGTAAGCTAGATATGTTAATTGACAATAAAAATCACAGACACAATTCATAATAAATGTTACAGAAAGTAACAGCGATAGCGATAGCGATGACGGCAACAATTTATAAAATTTCTGTTTTATTTGTCATGTTCCTTCATGATCACATTTTTCATTTATTTCACACACAATTACAAAAGAAAAGTCTCAGATCGTTAATTAATTGTCTAAACTAAATTATCAGATCAGAAATATTTTATTACCTGATAAACTTAGTTTACGAGATTAAATTTATAAACGAGAGGAATCGATTCAGAAATATTCGATTTCCACATCGAATAATTTCGCAACGTCATTATTTAATACGTGTCAAAACGTTGCAACACTGAAATTGTCAAATCTGGAATGGAATTAAAAGTCCGAGTATAGTTGGTATTAAAAGATATTTTTCAAGATTAGTCATTAACATTTAATCCTAACTATAATATTATGAATGCGAAAGTAACTCTGTCTGTCTGTCTGTCTGTCTATTCTTCACGCCTAAACTACTGAACTGATTTCTGTGATACTTGGTACAGACATAGTTTGGAACTCCAGAAAGGACATAGGGTAGTTTTTATACCAAAAATCTGCAGGAAGTCACTATTCCACGCAAACGAAGTCGTGGTCAAAAGCTAGTATCTTATACCTTCTTCTGCTGACTTAAAAGTCTAAGTATGTATATAAAATACTTTAATAAGAATGCTTGTACTTTTCCACAACTAGAAAATCTCATACCTAAACGTCTAATGCCACGAGACTATGATTTTATCAGCATCAATTTCATTCAACATTTTTCTTGGTATTTGTAAATATCTGCATAGATATTTACAAGTACCTACCTAGATATGCATGAAACTTTACACTTGTATTGCGATCGATAATAACGCTAGATATCAGCATCACAATCAATCAGAAATGTGACATTCGAAGGCGTCAGGTGACGAGCGGGCTGCGGGCATTATGCCGTTCCGCGTTGTTTTCGTTTGTACTACAGTTACGCAAACCTCCAACCTGAAATTAGCACGCCCTTTCAGCCGACACCCACTGCTATCGCACGTCACGCGCATGCGACGAGTAACACTCTCTATGTACTTACGCACTTATAAGTACTAATGACTACACGCTACTTCTAACGCACGTTTTACGACTCTTTCCGGCCAAAAAGTGATTTACACAAAAACGAGCCAAAAACTTCGTCAAAACGTCGACAATGGTTTCAAAATTTCGCGTCACGTCACGTCTCGTCTCGTCTCGTCTCGGCCGGCTGTCTAGACAACACAGACGAGCACAACTTTTTTTCTCTTCTCGGTAATACAATTTTTGGCAGACTTGTTAATACAATCTTGGCAAACATTTGTAACTTTTATCACGTCCGGAAAATGAATGAAAGCTGTCGGCAGTGAGTCACGGCGGCCATCGAGCGCGCCTTAGAAAGTCCTTGCTGTCTGTGTGTCTGTCCCCAAGATAATAGTACTGACATCACCCACAGACAAGGTGAGAGCTGTAAACTTAATTAGACGTGATCATTTTAATCTTACGTCCACTCTAAATTAATATTTACACTCCGATATAAAAATATAACGACGACCTTGTGGGAAAAATATTATTCCAGTCATTTAAAACATCGCGTTGATGCAATATCATGTGCGTGTTAAATAATGCATTAAAACAGACATTTAGCTGGTTATTAAAGACCTAAGCCAACATATACATGAGTAAAATCTTTGGTGTGTTTTAAGCAATCGTAATATACACATAACATAATAAGTACGATAAGATTATAAAATCATACGACATTGATATTCACATGTATAGGTACATGTGGTTCGTATACCTACATATATCTTATGATGTATGATATATATTATGTAAGTATAACTTGTACATACATAATAAACATATGTCTCATACGCCCTCTGAAAGTTTATGCAATTTTACAAATTAGCTTATCCTTATTTTATATCCTTATATTATTATTATTAAAAGCCACTTCGTAAAGGTAAGTTTCTAACTAAAACATGATAATAGATAACAATTTAAAACCGGCTTTAATCAATTACAAGTGTCTAATTTAATTCGGTTGCGTTTAATCATAATTTTAAATCGACCAGTACCTCTACGAAATACTGTAATAAAATATTTTAAATATAGAAAGGTGTGATAAAAAAATAAAGATATCGGATTGTGTGCTTGCTTTAAATACATTGATGCTTTCGTTCGACAGAGGTATTGTTGATTATTTTTAATCAAGTTTAACTTATTTACGTATTAGTAGCTGCATGTATATATACTTAACTTGTACAAATTTCCCATTTGTTCTAGTTACAGATAACCCACTTATCTATCTGGTTTTCAGACTCAGGTGTTATATAATTACTTTTTTGTTATTGTCGTATGTTCTAGAAATTAATCGGCTTATCGCTACCGAACCATGCAAACAAGATCTTAAACAAAACTTAATCAGCTATTAAAGGACTGTGTGTCTTGGAAAAGTTAACAATATACAAGATTTTTTAAATTTACGGAATAATGTTTCTATATGTAACCAGGAGTTCAGAGCTTATTGAGGTAAATCAGCAGGATTTAGAACTGATTTATGAAAAATAAAGCTAGCTTATATCATTTATTATCATTTTCACCGCCTTAGGCTTTCTACTAACACATATTTAAGCCGTTAAACATAGCTAACCTGTTAATTTTCCTTACTTATGACCAGTTAACTGTTAGTTATTCGTTTTAACAACATAAACAGGTACGTGTAATTGATGATGACGTTACTTATCACCTATAAACAAGCAAAGTTTATTTCCTCGCCGTTGAACCAGCGGAAACCTTTCAGTGCGATCCGTTGCCAGAAATTGATAAAGTAATAAATGTTTATGAGATTACCTTCGACGAGTCTTTGTCCGATAACAGATTAGTTATTGTATCATTCTCCGAAAATAGAACCTCTCGACATTCTCTCCGTTTGTTGATATTGTTAAGACGAAAGTGTGCGGCTCTCACGTGGTATTGTTTTTATTATCCTAAGTATTGAAGCTGGTATCGGCTCCGCTGATAACGATATGAACAGTGATAAACAATTTAAAACACAAGCGGTTCGCTAGTCACCTTTAACACCAAGACTACGTACGTTTTAATTGATCTAGTACTCGGAGACCGGTGCGGAAACTTCGGAATGCAATTATCTACATAAACACACGTGCCTAAGGCTGTTCACTGATTCCCTGTGCTAGGGTTGCGAGACAAAATGCGTTCCACAGGTGAGCGGCAACGCGGGCAGCTCGGTGACGCTGGGCAGATGAGAAAGATCGATGTGCATTTAATTACGTCGGACGGCATCTTTGGCAGCGCGTGCGGCGCGAGCGTTGTGAGCGGTGCATGCGATGCAAGCGGTGGAGCACTCACCGGCGGGACGGGTGGTGCGGCGCGCGGGCTCGTCCTCGCGCAGGTCAGGCGCGTGGCGGCGCGCGGCTCCAGGCCCCAGCGCCGCCAGCGCCAGCAACAGCAGCGCGCGCAGCATGCCGCCGCGACCACTGTATCTCACCGGGGTCCGACCGCTCCCGGCCACGAGCTCACTATTTTGGCCGCGCACGCTCTGTTCGCACGGTAGATGCAACGAGCGCAGGTTCGCGATCGTAGCGCGCGACTCGGAGGCGTCGTCGTAGCGCGACGGCTGAGCCGGACTGAGACGAGCGCCGCGCGATTTCCCGGCTGATGCGGCGAGGGGGCCGGCGCGCCCCTCGTGGAAAACGCGGCAATAGCGCGGTGCGGGCGGGGAAAATGCAGCGCTGTCATCCGCCCGCCCCGCCCGTCGCGCCGCCCGCCACTCCGACGCACCATTATTATGTGCATTATGACAACTTAATCCCTTCCACTCGTTCGACACTTTTATAAGCTAACACTTAAAGTTGATAGTTTACTAATTATGGATGAAATATTGTTATTTGTCGAATAATCTATGAATTGAACGTGCATCTTCAACATTCAAAACATTTCTAAACTATTTTCTGTTGCCAACAATTGGTTTGAAATGTAATAGAGCGATTAGTTCAAAAATAAAAATTTATAGAGAACTTCGTGTAAAAACAACATACTTATCATGTGAATTTCTTAAAAATGTGTCTGTGCATTCGATACATTTGAAATATGTAGTCTATGTCTACAGTGAAGAATTGGTCGAAAAGTCGAAGCAGTATAAATTAAAAAAAACGGTGTACCTAAGTAGTGGTATACACTTGTAGGTAGTAGCTATGTGCGTGGTAGATATGTAGAGACGGTACCTATAAATGAAAATTTGTAAGTAATCTCAAAAACATTATTCGTTCAGGTACAAACTCTGATAGTACCTACCTATATAGTGTATGGTATCTGAGAGAACGTGTATTTTTATACATTTAATGATTATTTTATTAAAACATTTCATTATAATAGAACGCATATATTTGTCACCAAAATCGGTCGTTACATTAAAATACAGCATCTGTATTTAATTCTAGTAGCCCTTATCTGCCACAGTTTACAAATATTAAGTAGGTAGGTACATAAAACCTAAGATTTATCGACAACTTTAGGACTACAAAAACCACAAATATTTTGTTTCTGTTAGAATTTATTGTGGAATTGAGTTATCCCTGATTTTACGAGTCCACGAAATTAAATGTCTGTCATAAAAAAGCACAGATTGTTATTGTTTGGCTCGCCGCCGCGATGTGCGTGGAAATCAGGGCCTCGAGTCTGCTATTACAATAGTGCAAAATAGTAGATCATTGGTTTCAAAATTGTTGATTTTGACAAGTTTGGTAATCTACTAACACGATAGCGTCATTATGACTTTCCAATGCCGTTACTCTATGTAACATTTATTATGAATTGTGTCTTTGATATTTATTGTCAATTAACATATCTACTTCATTGAAATAATTCTTTAGGACGGTAATCTCGTACTTACATAATGACAAATGAATATTTGACATAATGCGGTAAATTAATAAAAAAATGTCAGTTCCTTTATTCAATGACTTTAGAATATTAATGTGCAGTTATTGTTTATAATTCGTGACAAGACATCTCGTACTATAATTCTATTACGACATCGCCAAACGCCAATGATCAGCCATTTTGAATTAACAGATTACGAACTTTTAGCAAAATGACAATGGAATCGTGTAGGAATAACAACACTTTGAAAATAGTAGACTCGGGGCCCTGACATGTTGAACACATTCATAAGAATTAACAGAATAACTTACATATATTTGGTGCAGAACTGTATCTGGCAAGAGGCCCAACTAGTCGTATAATAAATATTTCATATCTTTAGCGAATATAAACGGGAATACCGATATCCAGTACAATGCTGTGTTGCTGTAAAAACTGTTCACGTCATGCCGATGTGAAAGTTTATAAATAATAATTATGTGGATTGTGACCTCGTGCTGACTCGGATCGGTATAGAAAATTCAAGATATAGTATTTTTATGGGAAAAAAACTATGTCATTTAAATCCTCTGTACCTTATCTAGCATACATATTATGAAGGTATTCCTATCTACCAGGGTTGCTGGGTAAGCACAATACGATGCCGCGACCTCGGCGTGGAGCACCAGAAGAAACGGGGTGTTTTTTGTCAGTAAGAGTCTGACACTTCCTCTTGCCTCACCATAGACGAGAAAAGGAATTCATGATATTTTTTCCCATAAAAAAAGTCCTACAAGTTCTTATTAACAAAATGTTGACCAGATTTTAGCAATTTAAGTTTCTGATTGAAACGTGATAACGTCACTTTTTGTCCTGTATCTACTTTGATTTAATGCATAAATAATCAGCCTATAACTATACAGTCCAGAGCAAAGGCCTTTTCTTGCACGAAATTTTTTTTCGATGACTTCAATCTTTAGTTAGAAATTCAATTAGCCTAAATATTGATTAGTAAATACTTCCTCTTTCCTTTCGCCCCATCTGAGACGATTGAATGAAATTCAACAGTAAAGTCAAAATATCTCGTTCTAATCAATTTTGGTTACAGATAATTTCTTGTCAGTAGAATTCCTTCCGCTTACCGAGGTTGATCCAAAGATTTTGAAATCAAACCATTTCAGTTCTTGTTCTATAAGATTTTCACATTTGAAAAACGAACAAAGCTCAATTCTTCTTCCAAGGAGCTAGAAGTTCTTAGAATTGATAACTTCGTACATAACTCTTAAAATACCAATATAATTTGAAAATATTAAAAATGTATTTGTGAGGCCTATGCATATGAAAATAGTCCGTTACTAGGTATATCTATATTTCTTTTTTTATTCTGTTTTTACACAATGCATAGTTATGGCTAAGAAAGGTTATGAAACCAGTAATAATGAATGAAAAACATTCATTACATAATGTATTAATAGGTACACTTTTGTACTTATTGTAAGCCATAAAGTATGTAAGTACTACTACCTACTTTTGTGCAATGACTTATGATGATAATAAAGCATATTTTTACATTTTAGTTGTGTAGGCAGTTCTTTTAATAACAAAGGTGTCTTTCTAACATTAATATCTAATTACTTAAAATAACCATGGTTATCAAAATAAATACATAGAATTTATTCTCTTTTGAATTTTTTAATCTTTGGATTATTTTTTTTAAACCATTGTTATTATTAATTTAAGTGTTCCATGAGAGCCATGCTTCGGCACGAATGGGTCGGCTCGACCGGAGTGATACCACGGCCTCACACAAAACCGGCGTGAAACAACTACAGCGTTATGTTTCGCCGTGTGAGTGAGGTTACCGGAGGCCCAATCCTTCCCCCCCCCCAATCCCTCCTCAATCCCTAAATCTCCAAATCCCTAATCCCTAAATGGTCGGCAATGTACTCTCGTAACTCCTCCGTTGCGGATGTCCATGGGCGACGTTGATGGCCACCATCGGGTAATCCGTCTGCTCGTTTGCCGAACTATTACCTACATAAAAAAATATTTTATACCCATAAATATTTCTATTTGTCTAATGTGAAGATAGATAGATACATGCTTATAACAAATATTATACTTCATATTAAAAACTTAAGAGTGCTTATTTCGTGTCAGTAACTTTGTTAGATAAAATATAATGCACCTACCTATATAGTGAAAACAACAATCCTATTTACGCAATCGTGGAATAAGGAACTATGGATAAAGATGTCTGATTACGAACTGACATGATAGAAGAACAGATCAGTATGAAATATTACAATAAACTCCAGGATAATACACAAATCCAGGGATACATCATAAGTTTACAATTGTGGAATGTTCAATGCGTAGGTAATAACAACAGTCGTAAATAGATATAACCACTAAGGAGGTATTTACTTAACATTATTATTTAGGATAAGTTGAATAAGTATTTGTATGTACTATTTCATAGCAATATATACGTTCCTAATAACGGTAGACCATAGAGGCATTTGCTGGTAAAACACAACGAAGTATCGCGGCCTCTGTATGATAAGGAGAAGGAAGAAGATTTTTTTTGTGAGGGGATCATCATCAAATGACTTCTCTCGCCCAGGGCCGGGCGGGAAGGAGTGTCAGACTCTTACTGACTAAAAACCCCCTGTTCCTTCTCCTGCTCTGTGCCGAGGTCGCGGTGCCTCATTGCGCTTACCCCGCAACCCCGGCTGAACATCAGCCCTTTAGGGCCCCGTCTGTGGTGGTCTATTGGCTCTTTGAACGCTACGCGTCGTACGCTCGGGAAGGAAGAAGATGGTTTTATATTCAGTAAGCGTCTGGTACTCCTTTTTCTTCCACCTACGAGCGCCTACTCTATACTGGCGAGAGGACGCATTGGTTGATTGTACGCATAGAATAAACAAAATCGAAATAACTAATTGTTATTTTAATCAGCCATCATTATTTTTTATTTCTTTTTGTGAGGGTAAAATGATCAAATGACTTTTCCCGGGCGGAAGGGAGTGTAAGACTCTTAGTTACTAAAAACGCCCCGTTTCTTCTCCCGCTCTGGGCCGAGGTCGCGGTGCCTCATTGCAGCCAGCGTTGCGGTTCAAGCGCAGTAATGTATAGACGGGGTGGTTTTTAGTCAGTTTGAGTCTGAAAATCCCTCTCCCTTCACCCAGTGGGGGAGATAAAATTGGATTCCCCCTTAAAAAAAATAAGTCAAAAAGTAAGTAATAACATGAAAGTTGCCAAAGGCGGATTTAAATTCTACATGGCATTTTCAACCATTTCTACTTATCCCCATTGGATTAGGCTGAAACTATAGACACCTTCTACCGCCTTACCAACAAGTATTATTATGTCATTGTAGTGATGTTTCTTTGTGTCCTCGAGATTATTTTCATTTTCTTCCTTCACTTTTGGTGTTAAGCGTCACATTGTTCTCACATATATAATCGTGGCGATTTACATAATAATTTAATTGAATTTAAGGTTTAAAATAAGGTTATTATAAAGTTTCTTGCTCGTTCTTCTCCATAGTTATCAACACTTAGGAACTAGGAAATGGTTTCCGCTATTGGACTGACCGATAGAATACCAATTTTTAATATTAATATTGGTCGAAATGAAATATTTTATTTTATTTGCGTTTCTTTTAAACTTAAAATGGTCTTCCTTGACAAGAAACTAATTAAAACAGATCCCTACCAGGTCGGTATAAAGACTACAATCGAACGGTCGGATCGGAC